CTTATTTGCATGGGCTAATTGAAAAGATAAGAATTGGCTTGAATGCTCGAGTGCTCGTGTGGTCATGTGATGGAGCCGTCTTGCTGAATATCGCTTGACGATGCTTGACTTATCGGGGATTGCTATGTATTGTTCCTGATTTGTCGGATGCTTGATTTATCGGGGAATACTGTGTATCGCACCCGATCTATCGGATGCCTGATCTTACAAGGTCTATTGTGTATCATCCTCGATTTTATCGAAGGCCTGGAGATTATCTGGATTACTGATACTCCGGATGCCGAATCACGACCTGATGGCGGATTCGATGCTCCTTACAGGATACCATCTTACTGTAGATTGTTTGATGTTGCTATATTGGAGTACCATCATCTTGTAGATCTTTTGACATTGCCGTGCTCGACGGGGCGGGATGATGTCCGGTCATGCCGGAAGACTACCATCTTGATGCGTATCGCTTGATGTGTTGTGGCCTAGAGAAGTCGTGATAAGTGGAACACGCATGTTGCATAGTGCTTGATTATGGGGTGAAAATTACTAAGCATGGTATGGAATTCTCTCTATGTGTTCTGAGTACGTGTTGTGCTGGACGCATTATTGTGACATTTGTTGACAGAGGTCATGCATGACATGTGTGGCAAGATGAGATAAGGATGCTTGTGATTGTTATCGACATGTGATTGATCTATATACTATGTGTGGTTGCCTGACTAGGAATCCCGAGGCGAGTTGACCTTCTAAATGGGGCTTAGGCTGTTAACTTATTGAGACTTTCGTCTATTTGTTGTTGTTAACATCTTTCAAGTCCTTAGCATGTCAATGCCCCCAGTATGGTTCAGGGTGCCTGGAAGCTGGCTTTTTGGAATGGACCTGTTGGTAAAGTAGATTGATCCCAACCTGGTATCTTTTTGTGGGCTATTTGTGGAAATGCCTGAAGTGGGCTTGTAAAGAAAATGTTTGGCAGGGGTTAATCAAGTGAATATTAAAATGGTGTTGTTGTTTGTTTGTTGTGAATCACTTTCCTACCTATCCCTGTTTATTGTTGTTGTCTAGGTGATTGTGGTTGTCGCTTCCGAATGCATAATCAAAAGATAAAATGTTGGGTTGGCGACGCGTCTTGAGACGTCGCATCATAACGACCATAGCGGGATGTTGCGCGTCCGTAGGTTCGGCCAGTGATAAGACCGGTTTGAACTGGATTCGACCCGTTTCATCCTTCGACAGGAGAATTAAAAAGTAATAAAAAATTTAGAAAATCCACAAAAATCATAAAAAAATAGAAAATCCACAAAAATCATAAAAAAATTAAAAATTCGAAAATATCATAAAAATTCAGAAAATCCTAAAAAATAGAAAATTAGGATATTCATAAAAAAAAATCAATCAGAAAATCCAGAAAATGCTAAAAAATTAGAAAATGTAAAAAAAAATCAAAAAATTCAAAAATTCACAGAATGGCTTAGAAACTCTGTGGCCACCCAGTTTGAGTGAAATTTGAATCTTTTTAAGTTCCTAAGTGGTATTTTTAGGAGCTCCTCAATTTAGGAATTAAAAAGGGTTTTTGCCCTTAAAAAACCCTAAAAGGGCTTTAACCGCCAAAAGGGGTCTCACTCCTATAAAACCCTAAAATCACACAATTCATTGAATGAATAAGCCTTTAGGGCTTTACTAGGGTTTTGGGTGTTTTGATTGATTTTCATTTTAGAGACCATTTTAGGATTTTTTTTGTGTGATTTAAATTGATTGTGCATTTAATCATCAATTAATTGGTTTCTCCTTATTAGAATGGTTAGAATTAGTGGATAGGCCTTGCGAACTCACATGACATGTTAGATGCTTCGTATCATTTTAGGTACTTAAAGGGCATTAGAGATCTCGATTTGAGATCATTAGAGTAACAAAGTCCCCTTACTCATGTAATCTCTGGTTCGCAGAATCGTGGTATTTCTCTCATACCTCGATTAGGTTTCTAGTCAACTTACCAATAATGACTAGAGGTGACTCAAAATTAAAACTTAGGCTAGATAAAAAATATATTAGAAAACAAATACCCACTGTTCCGTGAGGTATGGTCTGGGAGAGACTCTCGTTTTTTTAGTGATGGGATGTCTATGAGACATTTGGGCGAAATATCCGTTTCGGACTTTATTAGCCCATTCGGGGACAGTTTTCTCATTTGTGACGAACAAAAGTATCTCCTTAGCACGTGAAAAGCACGACACGACAGCTAGCGAGGCCGATGGTCGGGTAAGATGGCCGGATAATCGCTGGATCTCGCCCAGCCGGTGTTCTCGCATGCACAGGCACGCGAGAATGGGCCCGAACCCGACCTGTTTTGTCTTCTTCCACCGGACCGGACCTGATCCGGGGTCAACGACCCAATTTCACCCCGACCTGGTTCGAATCCGGAGATTTGACCCAAGTCAACACCTTTGGGTCGGGTCGGATTTGACCCGATCCGGATCCGCCGACTGGACTTGACCCGATCGAATATTATATTAGTTTTTAATTAAAAATATTATTTTTAAAAATAATTAAAAAATAAAAAATAAAATATTTTTATATTTTTCTTTTAAAATTAGGAAATAGTTTAGAAATTAGTATTTTTGAATATTGTTCTAAATTATATGAATTATTCAATTAATGATCATGTTTAAATCTAATAATCCTGTAGGGCTTTGCGGTAGTATTTTGCATGTTATTTTTACTACTGTTGTATTATCATTATGCATGTTGTTTTTAATTAGAATATAATTGCATCAATTGTCATTTTTTTAACGTTGTTGCCTTAGTTAGGGTTAGAACCCTAGGCTGCATATCTATCTTGATTGCTAATAACTAATGATTGTACACTCATTTGATCACCTCACATGTTAGGAGATAGGTCCTAAAATCAATCCAAATTGCCTGACAAATATTTTCTGAAATGAATAGGATGAAAGGTACCGAAAAGGCACTAGTCATTCAACTAGTGTAATCAAATTGACAAACTCATTTAATCTTTGGTTCATAGGAGTAGAGTGATTCTCCCATCACCTTAATTGGGTTTTTAATCGGCCCACCCTAAATTGATTAGTGAAGACTCCTAGATAAAAGCCACTTGTAGGTTAAAAACCTAAACCACAAGTCGCGATATGGTATGGGTTTGGGAAAGCCCAAGTGAAGTCTCAAATCTAGACTTAGCGAGTACCAGGCTACGCCACATTTTCCCTCTCCAATGGAAAAATTTGGCGGGTTGTAACAAAGGTTTACTTCATCCTCTTATTTGAGAAAATGAGGGCATTTCAGGCTCTTATTTGGAATTTTCCCATGTTTAAAAGGTATGTTAACTCTTCAAAATAAGTCCAAGCACACTTTTCAATTTTGTGAAAGGTGAAATTCATTCTTGAGGATAGTGATTGCATGCCTAAAAAATTGATGATTTTTATTGTCCTATTAGCAGTTCTTCATACTTCTCAACAGGATCGACCTCCAATTTTTCCAACAAAAGTGCCTTCTATTTTACTATTCAAAGGGGTCATACATTGTGACACCCAAAGTGTTACATAAGTCGAGTGAGCCCTTGTGGTGTTCTTTATACGTAAGATCCATCGTCAAATTGTCACTCTATAGTGCGGTTGCTTCGAGTTTCTTTTAGGGGTTTGACCCACATTAAATGTATCAAGTTATCACAGATGATATAAGAGCAAAAGGTTCTCTGGTAGATGCATCATTTGTTGACAAACTAGGCCCCGACTTGATCCAACATAGGTGGGGGTGGTTGCGCGAGCAACGAGGCTCGGATAAATTGCGGCTCTTAACAAACTTCAAGGATGGCGAATGGGATAAAAATGAAATGGGACACATTCCGAGTAGCATGAGTGTTGTTGGGTGGGATCACTAGGTAGTACAGCCAGTGCAAACGAGGATGTCAGTGGTTTAAATGAGGGAGCTTATACCAACTCGAGTCCCACATCGATTAGTTAAGATTTTGTGATGTTATTCATAAGCAAGATTCACCCTCAAATGATTGCCATCTTGTGTGGTTGCTATGGATACTCCTTTTAAGAGTCACCCATGTAGAATGAGTTAGGTCATTACATATTTTTTTTTTGTCGAATGGTTTCATTGTGTATGCCCTAATCAAAGGATATATAGTTGCTCAAGCATAAAATATTAATCATGGCGACAACATGGGTAAGGAAAAAATTGTCTAAAAAATCCTAAACCTATTATACTACAGCCAATTTAGTCTAAAACTTTTCAATGATGTTAATTTACTCCTAAAACTTTGGGTTAATACCACGAAAAATCCCAAACTGGTACACCCGTGATAAATTTATCCCAAATTAATTTTTTGACCATCAAAAACTCTAAACTGGTACATCTGTGACAAATTTACCCAAAACTAATTTTTTGACTACCAAAAATCCCAAACTGGTACATTTGTGACAAATTTACCCTTCGTTAATTTCTATTAAATTGGATTAATACAAAAAAAATACACAAACTGGTACACCGGTGATAAATGGAGGGTAAAGCCCAAACGTGGTACATCCGTCAACTGTCGCATGTGATTTAACAAAGTAATTTGATAGTAAAATTTAACGGAAGCTAACGGGGGGTAAATTTGTCACAGGTGTATCAATTTGGGGTTTTAAGTGGTTAAAAAATTAGTTTTGGGTAAATTTGTTACAGGTGTACCAGTTTGGGGTTTTTCGTGGTATTAACCCTAAAACTTTTGATAATTTGTCAATGTAGTACTACTTATACCTTTTTAAGATTTGCCAATTTTATCTTAAACCTTTTGACGATTTACCTATTAAGTCTTTTTGGCCAATTTTAGCCAGAAATTACTGAAGTGGACAACGGCCTCCAATGAAAATCCTACGTGGCGTGACCATCACTAACGTGGACAACTTTTACATTTTTTTAATTTCATTGACATGGACAACTTTTTCATTTTTTAAAATTTTTATTTTTTTCCATTTCTTTCATTTCATTTGTGATGGTGCTTAGCCATGGCCGGTGACCGGCCACTGGCAATGGTTTCCCTCAGTGGATCTGACAAGGGCGCAACCTTCGCCCAGGCTGCGACGTTCGAGCCCTTGCCAGAGGCCACAAGGGCTGCCTCGTCGGATATGGCGATGGCAGCCCACACCCAATCCGCGAGGGTCAAGCCCTTGCCAGCGATGCCCTTGCCGGCCCTTGCTTATGGCTAGTTGCTGGCCATGGCCGAGTGCTGGTCACAAGCGAAAGGAAAGGAAGGAAAAAAAGAAAGGAAAATTTAAATAAAATGAAAAATTCCCCACGTCATGTTGACCACGTCATGTAGGATGGTTGGCAATTGGCATCCACGTTAGTGATCCTGGCCGAAAGAATTAAATTGGCAAATTTTCAAAAAGGTTTATAACTAAATTGGTAAATCTTCAAAAAGTTAATGACTAAATTGATACAATTAAAAAGTTTACAATTAAATTGGCAAATTGTCAAAAGGTTTAGGACTAAATTTAGCACAATTAAAATATTTAAGACTGAATTGATCGCCGTATAAAAGATTTAAGACTTTTTGGCCAATTATCTGGGAAATATCGTGTTAACTCTCGAACCCATAGACCCTTCATCTCACAAGAGACTCCATCTCACAGAGTGATGAAGTGATAACAAATGATTACGACTTTGTTATTTCATCATGTATCATACAACACCAATCTGGTGAGTATAAATTATCCATCCACAGACAACTAATGAAAATAAAAATCTATTGCGTATACAAATACAAATTAACAATTTAGATGCATCAACTTATTATCAAGCTAGAAGAAAAAAGATTTCGTATATTCTTTTGATTCTTGACCTTCAATTAATCATCTAGCGTTGGAAGTGTTGACACCTAAATTTTGGTGTATCATTTAGTTGTAATTTGTATAGAAAATTAGGGATTAAATTTTTAACCTCTAAATAAAAATATTTAGGTTGCATAACATATAGTTTAAATTCATTTTAGATTAATTGCATTTTGCATCGGACCGGCGGTGACGAACGAGCTTAAATTTCATCGAACGGGACTCGGCTCGATTGGAATGCAAGGGCCGAGAATTACAAGTCAAAGGGGCTCCGTTGTTTTAATTTGAGCTTAATTCAGCCCATTATCCTTAATTAATTCAGCCCATTTAAATTAAATTAAAATCTAAGCCCAATAGGACTAGAGAGCCAATCTAATTGACCTAGATTAGTGTTATATATACATCATTAGATCAGGATTTTAGGGGCTCTCACAATTTTCAGAACACGATTTTTGAGAGCACGAGAGTCACACGTGAGCGAGAGCAAGAGTAAGAGAGAGAGAGTCGGTCGCGCACGCGCACACGCTCGCCTCACAGTCGCGCCGCCTCGCGACCACACTGCGCGGACCACTCCTGCCGCTGTTCCGCGACGCCGCCATCCCACCGCTGATCGCCGAGCCGCCGCCCATTGCCGCCGGCAGTGAATCGCGACCAGAACTGTGGCCGTGAGTCGCGACCCTCCTCGTCGTGGTCCCTGTTGCCGTGACTAGACACCAATTACTGTGGACTCACCAAACCGCCAGCGACGCGCCTTTCAACTTCACGGTGAAAACCAGCAAATCGACACTTTCCATCGTAGGTCTCGACGTGTCGATATCTTCAGCTTTGGTCCAATCCAATCCCCATTGACCACCGCTTGGAAAAGAAGTCCTTGAACCCCGCAATCGGTGAACTGGAGTTGGAATAAAAATAGCACATCAGTTCACAAAGTGGAATTTCAATTCGTGTTACATAGGAGGAAGACAATTTTGGGCATTAGTGGGTGATCTTTACTCGTTGCTGGATTTTCCGTGGTTGTTTCCTGAGCCCACGTCAGACCAGCTGCTGCCCCACCACAATCTCGACATCCTTCGAAGTTGCTGGTCACCTCGAGTCCCGACGCCAAGCCACTGCTGTCCCAGTGCCTCGTGGCGTCCTTACATTGCCGTGGCCTTATTCTTGTTTTTGCAGATTGACTGGGAGCACCACTGCGCACACCATTGCGCCCGCCGCCACCGAGCGCTACCGTCGTGAATTGCCATCCGCGGCTGAGAGTCACCGCGACCCGAGCTGCTCCTCGCCGTCCACACCGAAGCAACGTCGCCGCCACTGGCCGACGCCGCGTCGCCCGTCGTCCGAGTCCGATCCCGATCCACAATTCGAATTTGGAAGTTATCTGCAAATTAGGTAATTCAACATTATCCGATATTTTCAGAATATTTAATTTCCTAATATGGGTGTTTGAATATTTCGTGAATATCATGTGGATATTTAGATATCTTAGGATAATGTTCGATATATCCGCAATATTTTTAAATATTCAAAATTAGGAAAACTTCCTAATTTAGCAACGTATCTGGACGACTATCCGACCTTATCCCTAAGGTTCGATACGCGGCGATACGGAAAATTATTATCCTATCCATAACCACTTGGGTACGATAATGATTTTTATCCGCTTTCCAAATTTGAATAATCGGCTTTCCGTCGATATCTATAACCCTATAGATATGACCGATAGTTTGATTTTTGTGTCTAATCCAAGTTTGAAACAAATATGGCGGATCGCGTGAACGTTTTGAATGTGGTTGCTATCCTTGTTTATTTAATTGCTTTCCTTTTTCAAATAAACAGAAAATTCAAAAAAATATTAATTAGATTTGAATTAGAGTTTTTGCATGTCTAGGAATCCTAAATGTATCTAGAAGATAGAGTAGTTATTTAATTTAAATTAGGACTTGAGATGATCTATTTCCTAGTTTAAATTAAGTAATATTCTAATCTTAATAGATTATTCAGGTTATTCATTATTTCGAATTTTGACAAAAATCCTAAAAAGAAATCATGCTAGGGTAGATTAAGTCATCATAGTTTGCATGTTAATTTAGGCATTTTTATTATTCCGAATTTAAATTGAGAAAATACCAAAAATAATCATTCGTCTTGTCATTAGAAATAGGCCACGTCGTCGCACGACATATAGTTTGCATGCTAGGTTGCATTAATCGCATGTCATTGCATATAGGCTAGATTTCATTTAAATAAGTGAAAATCCAAAAAAAGAAATTGAGTGAATTGCTTGTTAATTAGAAATCATATTAGGGTGTCAATGTGATTTTCTAGCTAATAATGCAGATGCTTACGTTGCTTCCAGGTAAGTAATTCTTCCAAACTTGTAATTTATTTAATGCTTTCTGGGTGTTAAATTGGTGGTTTGCGCACTCGCATGAACACCTCACATGTTAGTAACTAAGTTGAAATGGATCCAAACTGCCTGCCAAAACATTTTTGAAAAGAAAAGGTACCGAAAGGGCGTTAGACCAGATCTAGCGTAATCAAGTCCCCGGGCTTAGAATCTCTGGTTCGTAGGAATAAAACATATCTCCCTATGTTTTATTTAGGTTTCTAATCAACCTACCATAAATTGATTAGTAGCGCCTCCGAGCATAAAAACTTAAACCCTAAGTTGCGAATTGGTAGGGCTTGGGAGGGCCCGAGTTAGGCTTAGTCTTAACAATCCATTAGCCTGAGAGGAATTTTAGGTCGCGACAGCTTGGCGACTCCGCTGGGGACTTGAGTTAAAACTCTTAGTGGACTTAGGCCAGTTTTTCTTTTCAAAAAATATTTTTGTTTGGCAACGAGGATCCCAGGTACGTCCCTAACATTTTATGTGTTAAATGTTTTTGCAGAATGGGAGGTATAAGGGGAGGCGTGATTGTTAACCCTTGTTTTGCAGGGAGGTGTTTGGATGTATGGTTTATTTTATGCACGAAGCGCTGTTTGATATAACATGTTGTGCATGCCTTGCATTTACACTACACCGCACACACTACCCGCCGGGACCAGGCGGCACAGGTTTAGGATGGTGCGAGACAGCGGACACCCCGACCACACCCGCGTGGTACGGGTCGCCCTCCTTGGTCCCGAAAGTTCTTTCACGGTGTCATTGAGTTCCCACCACGGTTGCACCCTTTGCAACCCGGGTCGGCTCCTTGACTAAGCCGGAGTAAGGGGAACCCCGGCCTAACCACAACCATGACTGGTTTAGCCCGGTAATCCTCGCGTCTCCATTTTGCAAACCAGAGTCTAGATAGAAATCGAACCTCACATTTCATGCGCATGTCTATGTGATTGCCATGGTCCTATCGGGTAAAGTAAGTTTTCTGAACCTTTATTTCTCAATTTATTTATGTTCCGTATTTTCTTTGGTCGGTCCATGACATTAGGTCGGTCGTGAGTCTTGGTCTATACACTATGGGAGGGGCAGACATCCGGATTCTTGATGCTCCTAAGGACGAGCTCCGTGCCTGGTGAAATCTACTCAGTCCGACCAACCGCAAGCTAGTTGAGGGCCACATCGGGAGGCTGCTCCCCCTACTGGAGGTCAAAGTCCGTACCGGCCTCGTTCGAGCATTAGCGCACTTCTGGTGTCCCGAGACCTCTACCTTTATATTCGGTAAGCACGAGCTCACCCCGACATTGGAAGAATATAGCGTGCTCATTGGAAAACCATTGGAGTCGGAGTTAGTCACACCACCTTTGGGAATTGATTCTACTTTAATGTTGGCTGAATTTTTGAATGTTGGAAAAGATGAATTGGGAAAAGTTTTAAAAGCAAATCGCGGCATATGTCCTTTTTCATTCCTGAGTCAGTGTTTTGAAAAAGACACATCTTTTCAAAAGGGCAAAATCTTTTTGTTAGCATTTTTCGGGTTCGTGATTTTTCCTCACTGTAAGAATGCATGTAGTCCATCAATCGCATGGTTGGTCCAACAAGTCTGTCTTGAAAAGAATTTTGGCAACACCATTTTAGCCGAGACTTTCATTTCACTCACTAAATTTAAGCAACATGTTGACAAAACGTTTCATGCCCCCCTCGAACTTTTGCAAATTTGGTTTTTGTCTCACATAAAAAGATGTGACGATTTACTCACAATATCCGAGCTTAGTGATTCTAGCCATCCCATTTTAAGCTATAAAGAAAAACAAGGAAATGCACCTGATTATCATTATTCCGAATGGATCATTTTCATGAAAAACGCTAAACCCCAAGGTTTCCATTGGCATGCTAATTGGTTCAAGGTCGAGGAAGCTCGGCTTACGTGTAATGGTGTTGGACCGGTGCCACTTTTGGGCTTCATTGGCGCAATCGAGTACTACCCTGCCAGAGTG